TAAATGGCCTGTCTTACATATTGGCAAAAAAAAATCAGAAAATAAAATACAAGCTGAATAGTCAAGACCTTGTTGATGATCCAAGCTCTGTAAAGGACCTTGGAGTACTCATCTCTAATGATCTAAGTGCTAGGGCTCACTGTAACTACATAGCCAAAAAGGCATTAAAAGTTGTTAACCTAATCCTATGTAGCTTTTTCTCTGGTAATATCACACTACTAATTAGAGCATACAAAACATTTGCTAGACCAATATTCGAATACAGCTCATCAGTCTGGAACCCACATTACGTATCTGATATTAGCACAGTTGAGAAAGTCCAGAAATATTTCACAAGAAGAGTTCTCCATTCCTCTACTGGTTGTAGAATACCTTATGCCACCAGACTTGAAATTCTAGATCTAGAAAATTTTGAATTGTGCCGTCTTCGGTCTGATCTAAGTATGGTTGCAACGACTTACCTGTCAATGAATACTTCAGCTTCAACCATAACAACACAAGAGCACACAATAGATACAAACTCAAGGTTAACTGTACCAAACTTGATTGCAGGAAATACGACTTCAGCAACAGAGTGGTTAATGTCTGGAATACTCTATTTGACTCTGGTTTCTTCCCCAAACCCCAAAAACTTTAACCTTAGACTGTCTACTATTGACCGCACCCCTTTCCTAAGAGGTCTGTAGGGGACGTGCATAAGCGCACCAACGTGCCTACTGTCCCTGTCCTATTGTTTCTTTTATTTTTCTTATATGTACGCATTTCATGTATTCATAACTATGTATATACTTATAACTATTATCTTGTAAGCGATTGACAAATCAAATAAATGAATGAATGAATGAATGAATAAATAAATAAATAAATTCTGAAAAACATCCTGCCAATCAAACGAACTCCATAATACTGCCAAGTATACTATATGGTTGTATAATCTCTAGGAGTCCAATTCAACTCAAGAGTGATCTTTATATCTTTATTAAATGAATATTTAATCAAACACCAGGCAACTATGGGTTACAAGAATGTGGCTGAATTCTCATATAATATTTAGCCAGGGGTTTTAGTCTTCATTTAAACAGCATGGTGCTAAATGATAATATAGTTGCATCCTTTTGTTTTACTATGTGTGAAAGCTGAATTAGGTTTAACTTTATATGGTGATAAGCAGGGGTGGGAGTAGCTTGCTGACAGGGTGTGGCTAGGTGGTCATGTGACTGGGGTGGGCATGGCTACATGGTCATGTGACTGGGGTGGATGTGGCCATGTGACCGGCAACCCAAATTTAAGTGGTCCTCGCTTAATGACCAGGTCCTCACTTAGTGGCCAATAGCTTAGCAAGTATTTTTTGCCAGTTTCCAAGGCCTTGGGGAATCCTGGGGAGGGCTGGGTGAGGCCCGGGCAGCTACAAGGAGCTATGGGGAGGGCTGGGCGAGGCCCGGGCAGCTATGAGGAGCTACAGGGAGGGCTGGGTGAGGCTCGGGCAGCTATAGGGAGCTATGGGGAACTCAAAGTAGATTTGAAAATGACAGTCTATAAAAAAGATGCTGCACTGTGTATATAAAAGAATGGCTGATATTTTCATAATTACAATTCATTAATTGAAAAAGAAACACTTAAAATGGAAATACTATTAAGAAACCAAGGGAGTTTGTTATTTTGCCAGCAGTGGCCCAAAAGCCAAGACTACTTACCTGGACCAACAGTCCAGGATGGAATGCTCTCTCTATAGCAGAGAAAGAGAGAGAAGCCAGGGGAAGCCATGTTTGGTCGCCTAACCTTTTTAGAATGCAGCATAAAAATGTACTGAAGCTTTTTACAGCCTTATGCAGATATATATATAGTACAAAAACCCATAATAGTACAAAATCATCTAACAAGTTAGATTACGAATGGAATTGATAGGCATATTTACAGAGCAATACTGAATTCTTTTTCTGAAATTTATTCCTCAGTTTAAAAAACTGGAATACACGAATTAGGTTCAGTATTGTGCTCTGGTAGTACTCAAAAAGATATTCAAGATTGTGTTAAGGTTAGCAAAAATGGTAAGGCAAAATAGATTTAAATTTTGAGATCAAAAATATTTTTGTTGGCACCCACATAAATAAAGGGAGTACAAAACATATTTAATGTTACACGTGTTAACAGCAGCTAGAATTATGTTTGCACAACAGTGGAAAAACGAAGATGAAAATGAAATTAGAAAATTACAATGTGCAGAAATGGATAGAGATAAGAGGTAGAAATTAGGTGGATAATGATCATTGCTATGTATGAATTAAATACAGAGGTTGATAATTATAAACATGTTGATATAATTAACAAAATTAGAAATAAGCCAACACAAAGAAATTTAAATAATTTTTCTGTTACACTGCTGTACTTATTGATATTTGTTTCTGCTTTGCTTTCTCATTTAAGAAATATTTTTTAATACTTTATAATATAATCTAAGTATAATAGAATTACAGAGGTAAGGTAAAGTAAGGATATATTGTTATAGAATAGATTGGTGATGATGAAATGAACATTATAAAGTAGATTAAGTAAAAAATGGTGATTTGCTCTCATAAAATGATGTAATATTAGTAAAGTCTAGTAAGTAATTAATAGTGATAATATAAATATAGTGAATTTATGATATAAGGATTAATGCAAATTGGAAGGGAAAGACTGCAGAGATTGTGCACAAGTGATTTGTACCAACCGACAGACTGTATGTAACTGAAGATGGTTTGTTTTATGGTTTGTTTTGTTTATGTTTATGTTTAAAAAAAATAAAAAACTTTTATTTTTATTTTTTTCCGTTTATGAATGCAGGCAACTTCTTGTTACATTGATGTTGCTATATATTGATTTAAGCAGAAACAGATAATGTATAACAACAACATAACAAGAAGTTGCCTGCCTCATTTTTGGTAAATTGCTTTTCTTATTTATGTATTTATTTCTTCACTATCTGTTTTGCTTTTAATAAAAACAAAAACAGATACTAAAAAAATAAATAAATACATAAAAAAGCAACTCACCCAAAATGAGGTAGGCAACTTCTTGTTACATTGTTGTTATACATTATTTGTTTCTGCTTAAGTCATTATATAGCAACATCAATGTAACAAGAAGTTGCCTGCCTCATTTTTGATAAGTTGCTTTTTTATTGATGTATTTATTTGTTTTTTTAGTATCTGTTTTTGTTTTTATTAATCATAAAAACAAAACAGATACTAAATAAATAAAGAAATACATCAATAAAAAAGACAACTTACTAAAAATGAGGCAGGCAACTTGGCTAGCCAGCTACGCCGGGGTCCTCCTCAGTCTTCAAGCGTGCTGCAGCGAGGACGGCTGGCCCAGGAGTCGGCATTTGACTGGGCTGGCAGTGGCGGCGGCAGTGGCAGGAGAAGGTAAGGTGACCATGGTTCTTGCTTTGCCTCCTCACTCACCAATCAAGGAAGGCAAGGAAGGCGGCAACCCTTGGGCCACAGCGGGCAAGGGAAGGTGGAGGCTGGCCTACCCAAGATGGTGGCTGGACTATCCAAAATGGCAGCCAGCCTAGCCAAGATGGCACCAGCCTAGCCAAGATGGCGGCCAACAGCTGGCCTAGCCAAGATGGTGGCCGTTGGCCAGCCTAGCAAAGATGGTGGCCGCTGGCCAGCTTAGCCAAGATGGCAGCTGCCAGGTGGGTGAGGCAGCGGTGGCCAGTCCAGGAGTTGGCACTCAACCAGTGCTGGCAGCGATGGTGGCAGTGGTGGCAGGAGGAGGTAGGGAACCGGCAGCACGGGGCTTGCTGCTTTGCCTCCTCACTCACCAATCAGTGGTGGGAAGGCAAGGCAGCAACAATGGAGGGCCACAGGCAAGGGTAGAAGGCAGCAGATGAGGCAGGGAGCATTGATGAGAGTGGTGGGCGTCCTGCGAGTTGGCACTCGACCAGGGCTGGTGGCGGCAGGTGGGTGACTGAGTCATACTTACTGATCTGCATCTTTGGAGACCGGGGTAGGCTGTCTGGGCATGTGAGGATGGCTAGTGACGGAGGCGGTGGCCGGGCCTTACGTCTTCTTTAACGACAGGCAGGCAGGCCTGGGAGGCCGGCCGGCCGGGTGAGGATGGTTAGCGGTGGTGGTGACCGGGGTTTGCAGCTTGCTCCAGCAGGGCGGCAGAAGGCAGGCAGTGATGGCTGGCTGGCTGGCTGGCTGGCACTGCTGCTGCTGCTGCTGTTGTGAGCACTGGGTGGGAAAATTTTTGTAGATAGCACATACGTGCTATAAGTAGGGGTGGGGCGGGGCGGGTGGCGGAGAATGAGGCAAGGATTGATGTACATGCAAAGTAGAAAAAATGTTTTTTGGAGCATAGGAGTGGTGGAGAGTGGCAGGTGTGGTGCCAGTGAAGGGAGGGCCGGGTGGGGAAGAGAATGAGGCAAGGATTGCCACACATGCATGAAAAATGTCATGCATGCATAGTAAAAAAGACTGGGTTTTGGAGTGTAGGGGTGGCGGAGATTGGCGGGGACAGAGCCAGCGAAGGGAGGGGTGGTCAAGGGAGAAAATGAGGCAAGAATTGCAGCTCATGCACAAAAATGTCGTGCATGCGCAGTAAAAAAAAAATGCAGGGTTTTGGCCCATAGGAGCAGCAGAGAGGGGCGGGGCCAGCCAGGGGTTGGTTTTACCAGTTCTAAGAACTACCAGTGACATTAACAACCAGTTCTATGGAGTTGGTGTGAACTGGTAGAATCCCACCCCGGTAATAAGTTACTTTTCCAACGATTAAAATATTAACATTAATATTAATTGTAATAAATATTAATATTAAATATTTATTACAATTAAAATATCCTGGGTTGGTTCAGTAAGGAGACTCAATTGAACAGAGAAATAGACACACTTGTGGTGTAGTGTCATGTATGGAGTTGGCTTGTTTATTTTCTCATGATAGGTCTTGATGTTAGGCCCACCTTTGCTATAGTAGCATTTTTACCTTAGTTCTTTTTCTTGTCCATTAAGGTTCTTGCCATCCATAACTTCCATTACACTCTGGGCAATGACATCATTGTACATAAGAATCAACCCAAGAGAACCAAGCAGGTGGGTACACTATTAAATTCTTCAGTGAAGCACATTCATTTGAAAGGTGAAATAAAACTCATAGTAAAATTATATCTCATTCCTATTTCTGTGAACTGGAATACTCATTGTAGTCCGAAGTAAAATATGGATTAGATTCACTCAAAGATAAACTTAATCTGAAATCTGGATCAGTAAAGTACAATTGTTCTATTTTTCTGAAACAGACATGATGGTTAGTTTACTATCATGGCTGGTTTCTCATGACTTTCTGAACTACGACTTTAGCATGGCAATTGATTACCGCCAGCAAATCTCTGGCAGTATGCTGATAAGCTTTAAAAGATTTCAGGTCTGATCTATGAGTTACACCCAACCTTCTAATTTTTATTCCCAAAATTCATGGTCAAAACCCATTGATTTGGCGAAGTTTGATTTTTTTTTTGTTATTGTCCTCATTTCATCTCATCTGCTCCCTGACAAAAGATTAAAAATGGAGGCTTAGCGGATTTCACATATCTATTTTGCATTTTTAAACTTCACAGGTTTATTTTTAAAAGTAGAATGTTGCTAGCTCCATTCCCTCAGTTATGTCATCTTGCTGAAGGACGTACCCTCTTACTGCTTTTGGAAGCTGTTTTTAAATTCCTTTGCTTCATCAAAGAGTACAATACCAGCTCTTCTTCCACCTTAGGAGGTGGTTGCACTTGGCTGACTTTGTTTGGGCCTCAGTGGTGAGAAGAGTTGGACCTAGTTAATATTTGCAGGGCAGATCATCAGGGAATCCCAAGATTAGGCTAGTCAAGGGAGTCAAGAACTATCCTAGAAGAAGGCAATAACAGAGGCCATCTTCACTATTGCCTGGAAAACTGCTTGAATAATGTGTCGAAGTTCACCTTGAAAGATACCATCCGTAACTGCTCTTGTTTCAGGTCCTCAGTTATACATGCACACATCATTTAGAGCAAGGGTGTCAAACTCAATTTCATTGAAGGCCACATCAGGGTTTACCTCGGGGAGGGGGGGGGAGAGGCAGGCAGGCATGGGAGGGTGTGGCCAACTGGGTGGGTGTAACCAACTGGGTGGGCATGGCCAACTTGACACTACTCCCCAAACTGCTGGCCCGATCTTTCCTCTTTGCATTGGGTAGAATGTAAAGCCATGCTGGCCTGATTTTTCTTCTTCATGCTGGATAGGCCACGCTGACTTGATTGCTCCTCTTCAGATTGGATAGACTGGGCCGAAGCCATGCTGCCTTGATCTTTCCTCTTTGCATTGGGTAGACCAGGATGGCCTTGTGGGCCGGATTCAACCACATCATGGCTGAGGTGGTATTCAGTAGGTTCTGAACAGTTCTGGAGAACTAGTAGCAGAAATTTTGAGTAGTTCAAAGAACTGGCAAAAACCACCTCTGACTGGAAATTTTAGAGTATCCTTCACTTGCCACACCCACCAAGCCATGCCCACAGAACCGGTAGTACAAAAATTTGAATCCCACCATTGCATCATGAGCTGAATGCAGCCCGCAGGCCTTGAGTTTAATACCCCTGATTTAGAGTATATTGTATAATGAAAAGGTGACTATATCAGTGTAGAAATGGATGGAGTTTTCTGTTTAGCTCAGCGCTGTGGACCCTATTGGAAACATCTCTGGAGGTTTGCAGGCAGATTCCTCCCCATTCTTACCTGTTGATGTTGAGGACCTATCCAGCAACCTTCCTTCTGAGCAGCAGACTTTCTGTCCAGATTTATATCTATTTGTGATTCCGTGTTTTCTATAGCTTATAGAATGGGCTGGGCTGGGCTGGGCTGGGCTGGGCTGGGCTGGGCTGGGCTGGGCTGGAATAGAATAGAATAGAATAGAATAGAATAGAATAGAATAGAATAGAATAGAATAGAATTCTTTATCGGCCAAGTGTGATTGGGCAAACAAGGAATTTGTCTCTGGTGCATAAGCCCTCAGTGTACATAGAAGCAATAACTGATAAGTCATGATCATAATCTTAAAATACAATAATCATAAGATACAACAGTCAGTGATAGTCATAGGATACTAAATAAAAGCAATAAATCATAACATTCCTAACAGACAGGTAGCAGCAGGTGTAGCTAGGCAGAATCACATCTGATAACTGTACAATTAGCACAGCCCCTCCAAGACTGTGTGCTTTCTCCACTTCTCTTCTCCCTATTACCAAGACTGCATCTCAAACGATCCATCTGTTAAAATACTGAAGTTTGCAGATGATACAACAGGATTGGTCTCATTCGAGACAATGATGAATCCGCATACAGATGGGAGGCTGTACAACTTGCCTCATGGTGTAACTGGAACAATCTGGAACTGAACACACTCAAAACTGTAGAAATGGTGGTAGATTTTAGGAGAAACCCTCCCATACTGCCACCTGTTACAATACTAGACAACACAGTATCAACAGTAGAGACCTTCAAATTTCTCGGTTCTATCATGTCACATAAAATGGATACCTAACACCAAAAACATCATTAATAAAGCACAACAAAGAATGTTCTTTCTGTGCCAACTCAGAAAGCTCAAACTGCTCAAGGAGCTGCTGATCCAGTTCTGCAGAGGAATTACTGAGTCTATCATCTGCACCTCTATGACTGTCTGGTTTGGTTCTGCAACCCAACAGGACAGACACAGATTTCAGATAATAATTAGGACTGCAGAAAAAACAGTTTCTACCAACCTGCCTTCCATTGAGGACCTGCATACTGCACGAGTCAAAAAGAGGGCTGTGAAAATATTTACAGACCCCTCACATCCCGGACATAAACTGTTTCAACTCCTTCCCTCAAAACAACGCTATAGAGCACTGCACAACAGAACAATTTTTCCCCCGAATGCCATCACTGTGCTAAACAAATAATTCCCTCAACACTGTCCAACTATTTAAAAAGGTCTGCATTACTATTACTGTTAATCTTCTCATGACTCCTTATCACCCATCCCCTTCCACTTGTGACTGTAACTTTGTTGCTCGTATCCTCACGATTTATATTGACTGTTTCCTAGTATGATTTGATTGCTTATCATATCTTATGACTATTATTAAGTGTTGAACCTTATGATACTTGATGAATGTATCTTTTATGCACACTGAGAGCATATGCAGCAAGACAAATTCCTTGTGTGTCCAATCACGCTTGGACAATAAAGAATTCAATTCAGTTCTATTCTACAAACAACAAAGTTGTAGTCATAAGATGCTAAAGGAATAGTTAATAGGAAAGATGAGAAGGATAATAGTAATACAGCCCTTTTACATGGTTTCACATTTTAGAATATAAGACATCTCAGAGTATAAGACAGAGTATAGGTTGTGGTAATTAGTTGGGGAAAAAAGCTGTCCTTGTGTTTACTTGTTTCATTCATAGGATTGGGATCCTTCCAGTAGTTTGCGTCCATTGCGTCGTACAAAACGGAGATGGGTGATTACTACTATTGAACTTGAAGAAGAAAGCAGAGGACCCTTCCCCAAAATGATTGGCGAGGTAAAAATGAAAATGCTGACTTCTTAGCATTACCAACATTTTTTTCTCTCTACTATTGAGCATTGCTGATAGTGAGGCCAAAGTAAATAAACAGCAAATAAAGGCACATAGGAATTGATGACTCGGTCCCACATTTGGGATCTATTATCTCCAGCATATTTTCTTCGTGACCACCAGGTTCACCTGATTTATTCACTTATTTTTCATGTTTTCAATTCAAAAATAAATAAACAAAAAGGTAACAAGCTGCAAAGCAAAAAGCCAGCTTCAAGTATAATCTCTATTGCCAAAAATAGTTCTTCATCCTATATGTGCCCCGAGGTGGTAGTAATAGTAGCAGTAGTAGTATAGTAGTAGTAGGTCATACTAATAATAGTAATGATTTTTAATTGGAAGAGTTAAGAATACTTAGAAATCTTACCTAATATTTCGAATCTGTTTTGTTTGTAGCTCTTCAATAAAGCATCCCAAAATACATCCATAAAATATTCAATTAGTGGACCTGGTGTGGATGAATTTCCGGAATATGGATTGTTTTCTATCGAGGATGATGCCAGAGGCCTTGTATATGTGCATCATTCCATAGATCGAGAGAGGACGCCCTCTTTTCCAGTACTTACATATTTTATAGTGTTTTTCATCTGTTTCAGCCTTGAAGAACTCTGAACAAAATCCTTCAGTTAATTGAAAAAAACAACATTCCAAAGGAATCCCAACTAGTGCAAATTTCTCTTCAGCCGATCACAACATGCCCAATAAAGTTTTATATCTTGTTCCATATATGTGACATAGAGGGGGTATTCGCAAGAGGCATTCGTATGATGACTGTTCAGGGAAGGTAGATTTTATTCTGTCAGTATATTGCCTGGTATAACCCAGCATCATATTATGTGAGGCTTTAAAGGTATGGATCAACATGATTTGGGCCTAGAAATCTATTTAATCACCATGCAGCAACCTTAAGAATTCATCTTCTGCATTGAAATGGCAGCCAGCAGGTTGCCACGCCTGGCGTTGCGTAGCAGCACCTGGGTTGATTGTGTAAGAATAGTCCAATTCAGTAGTAACTATGGCATGAGTTAGTGTTGGCAGATCAATTTGGGCTATGTAGGGCCATAATGAAGCACAGTAGTCCTTGATTAACAACAGTTCATTTAGTTGTTTTACCAGTTTCAGGTATGGCTCTGTAGGAATAAAGACAAGGTCCAGATATTTGCCTCAGTAAGCTTGGATTCAGCTGAATAAAAATGGGCTCCTCAAAGCAAGAGGGAACCCTGAACCCATAGTGATGCTTTGTATGCTTGCTGTTTACTTCATTATACAGAGAAGGTTACACTCTATACTCTAGACCCTAGAAAAAGTACAGAGAAGAGCAACCAGGATGATTAGGGGACTGGAGACTAAAACATATGAAGAACAGTTACAGGAACTGGGTTTGGCTAGTCTAGTGAAGAGAAGGACCAGGGGAGACATGATAGCTGTCTTCCAATATTTGAGGGGCTGCCAAAGAGAGGAAGGGGTCAAGCTATTTTCTAAAGCACCTGTAGGCCAGACAAGGAATAATGGATGGAAACTGAACAGGGAGAGATTTAATCTGGAAATAAGGAGAAACTTTCTGACAGTGAGAACAATCAACCAATGGAACAGCTTGGCCTCGGAAGTTGTGGCAGCTTCATCACTTGAGACTTTCAAGAAGAGATTGGACTGCCGTTTGTGAGAGATGGTGTAGGGTCTCCTGCTTGGGTAGGGGGTTGGACTAGATGAATGTGTCATTTAGCAACAGAAATTTTGGACTTAATTGTGGTCGTAAGTCGAGGATTATCTATATCAGCCAAAGCAGAGTGAAGATCTCACTAACCCTTGGTCTTCATTTGCTACCTATGCATAAAGTGAAAATCCTAGGGATTCGCAAGTTATAGGCCATCTCCTTTAGAAGGATTGCAACTCCCATCCAGAACAACTAAAAAATGTTGCTGGATACTGGTTTTTTGGGGTGGTGGTGGTGGTGGTGAACAGCAGCTTTATCTTGCAGAGATTTTATCTGAATTTATTTTTACCTCATCCAAATCCTCAAAATTTCCATCCATCAATTCAGGACTTTCCTGGCATCTACAGATTGGCTTGGGTAGGGTCATGGAAGTGGATATCATCAGCATAACGAGGATACCTCACCCTGAATTGAGAAACGGTTGAACAATTTCCTAACTTCTCTCCCAATGGAAATATTTTCTATTATTTCATCTTGGCTTGGTCGATAATTCCTAGGAGTTAATTTTCAAGAGTTTGTTTAGCGGTGTAATTTTGCAGTAGTTATGCAGTAGGGTATGCCTGTTGACCAGTGTCAACATTTTGCCTTCTGGCAAACCTTTATATCTTAATAAATGTTGGTTTTGACCTTTTGTTCAGCCAACGTGTGTCAAACAAACAGAAAAAGAGCTAAACATGGGTTTGCTTAATTATCCTTAAAGGTCAAATGTGGTTGTTTCTAACCTCAAAAATAAAACAGGAGCAATAATACATTTCCCTGTTCCTGTTTCAAACAAACAAAAATTCTCTATCCAAATCACTGAAGAGCTAAGTGTTCAATTATGGTGACAACATTACCGCATTCTCAGGGGGGGGGCTTCAAAGATTTTAGCAAAAGGTTCTCTGCCTGGTTGCTGGGTGGCGTGGCTATGGTGGGCATGGCAGGGGGGCATTTTTGCCCTCCCCAGGCTCTGGGGGCTTTCCTTGAGCCTCCAGGTGGGCGAAAACAGTCTCCCCAGGCTCCGGAAGCCAGAGAGGAGCCCATTTCTGGCCTTCCTGAATTTCTGGGAGGCCCATTTTTCGCCCTCCCCAAGCCTCTACATGTACCTTGCACTTACCTGCATCCAAAACAGGCAGTGTGGTGATTCCTGGCAGAGGCAGGGCGGGGCGGGGTGGGTGGGGCCAGTCAGGAGTGGGATTTGGGGATTCTCTGAACTTATTCACAGAATCTTAACTAGGTGCTCTCCTGAACCCCTGTGTACTCTCAGCAGCTCACCCCTACTCATTCCAGTTATTAGCATCCTTATTATTGACCTGCAAGTGAGATTAAGATTTTAAAAGATAATTTTTTTGGTCAACTTCTAGAGCATGGGTGTCAAGCTTGTGGAGTTACATTGCCTTCATGTGACTTATCTTGACTTTTTCCCCTTTGCGGAGCTGGGGTGGGCATGGCCTATGCACCTGGCCCATAGGCTGCCAGTTTGACACCTCTGTTCTAGAGGATCATTTTCTAAGATAGTTACTAATTGATCATGGGAAAAAAGGGAATAGTTTTCCATAGTTCATTTCATAATTATATAACAAGACTATATCTTAGTACATAATCAATTTGCTTGCACATGCTACTGTCCAGCTACTAAGTTACGAAGGAAGTATTCCTGGTCTGTACTGTTTTTCATTTCATTTGTACCCATTATTTTGTACCTTCTTAAACTTGATTTTTAAAGGTAGCATAGTTTGTAAGGATAGTTGAAAAACAGCCAATCTTTTGCTATTTACATGGAGGAGGCAACCCATGGTCATCCTTTCAGACATATTTTCTTACCTCAATGCCTTCAACAGTGGCAGAGCTTTTAAAGTATTTGAAAACTTCTTAAAAATCCAGGGAAACATTTAGAGATATATCTGCCATGAAAGTAGTCCATGGTTAACTGGATAGCACAATTGAACGTTAGGAGCTGACCACAGGAAATGTTTGATTACAGTTTGCACTACGTCATAAAATGCATTATAGAACAGTAATGTTTATATCATAAAATATTTTATAACATTTGCCAAATTTCAATTCCACGGGAGTTGCGGTTTAAAAAGATTTGCTGTATGAGGCACTGTTTCACCCAGTTAAACATTGTAGACATAGTATGTAAACTGAGCTTTAGGAGAAAAAACTGAAGAGGCTAGATTTTATATATAGCAAAAAGGATGATGATTGTCATCTGATTTCATCCAAACTCATCTAAAACTCAGCCCTTGTATGCTGAGCTTTTAAACTCATGATAATTCTCCCCAAACTAATGGCTTCAAGGTATTTGAGATGGAAACCTAATCATGAAGGCTGGGACTGGTTAGTTCAATTAATCTATTGATTATATTTTAAAGCACAGTTCCCTGATATACCTTGGAGGCTTAACACAGATTTTTAAAAGCCTATAAATCTCCCCTCTGAATTCAACAACTTTTGACAAATCAAGGCCATACCCACATATATAGCTCCCCTTCATTTGAACTACTTAATATGGCTCCCAGTGATCGAAAGCTTTTCTGTCTTTATTATAATCAACAAAAATAATTTTTGCTTTGTCTTATCACTTTTAACCTAATTTTCTTATTGACTATCTACTATTTAGATACGTTTTGATGTTCATGATAGAAAGACTGGAGCAATACTAGACAGTTCCTTGTTCTTCAACATTCAGATTAAGGATATAAATGACAATGCTCCTGAATTTCTCCAAAAGGAATTTAACATTAATATAAAAGAAAATCACAGCAAAAGTGAGTATCCTTGAAAATTTGGGCAAGTATCAGGTAAAACGGGGTCCATTGTTTTCACTTTTATATAGATTTTACATGTTTTTCTTTTCTTGGCTATGTTGGGATCTACAGAACAAAATCTGAGGAGATGTCTCACAATATACATAAATAAATACATTCATCCTCATATACATTACATATACTTTCTAGTTTCACTCTTTTTTTAGACTAAACTCAACCCTATATTATGTCATGCCACTGCCCTGAGAGAAGGTTGAACAAAGTTTTCCAGTTTAGAACTAAAACATGTTCTTTTTTTCACCTCAGTTCATCTCACCTCACTTCACCTCACTTGACCTTTTCTAAATTTGAACCTCTCTCCTCTCCTCTCCTCTCCTCTCCATGTTGGAAGGAGACCTTGGAAGAGGAATTCTACTGTTCTGTATTGTCCATTGTACATATGGTTTCTTGAACCTTTCTTGCTACTTCACTCATTGTTTTTTTACTTTCCAGGATTTTTTCACTGTCAGTACAATGTAAAGTCCCTTTTGATGAAGTCTACATTTTTCCTCTTTTTTATTTCCACTTACAAATGCAACAGTAATACATGATCAATACTGAGAGCCCACAGGGAGTATGCAATTGAATGCATCATTCAGGTGCATGCTTCAAGATACATCTTATTTATTTCCTGATTTAACAAGGAGACATAACCAAGTTCCTTTCCACAACCAACTACATGTCTGTTTAGTACTGAATCTGAGATAGCTACGCATATATGTCCAGCTTGTCCAATCTATCATCCCTGGAGTCAGAGAGCAGGATCGAATAACCCCTTTGATAGCAAAATATTCATATTGCCACCAACAAACAACAATGCACTTTTTAGTAAGTGTCCAGTACACTTAATGTTTCCAGGAATACAGCTGAAATGGCTAACCCTGTTTCTGTTGGTATCAAATGCCACTAGAATCAGCTGGAATTTTCATACTCAAAATTCACCATCTTCAATTATTGTACCTTACTCCCATCCTTTTTTTTTTGTTTTAAGGTATTAATTGAATGAATTATAATTAATTTTTATTGTATATTGTATATGGAACCTTGGTCCACTTATTTTAAGCTGTTGGGCTTTTCCTGTAATAAAGCCCATCCATTTGTCTTTGCAGCCTTTTCTGAAGAAGGGAAAAAAGGAGATTAATGTTTTATTTTCTTCACATCATATCCTTGTTTAGTAAGGCTAGATGATTGTCTAGCTGGCAAATATGGGTAGAGGGTGACCTTTTCTGGACAGAAACACTAGGTATGGGTGATTTCCTTGTGATATTCACTTGAAAATACATATTCTGTCCATAGATCTCAGTGAAATAAATCTATCTATCTATCTATCTATCTATCTATCTATCTATCTATCTATC